CTTAGGAGTGAATGTGAGTGTGAGTGGTTGTTTGTCCTTGTATGTCCTATGTGTGGCCCTGCGATGGACTGGCGGACTGTCCAGGGTGTACCCTGCCTCTCGCCCGTTGACCACTGGGATAGGCTCCAGTTCCCCCCGCGACCCCATGAGGGAATAAGCGGTATTGATAATGGATGGATGGATAGATGATTTTGGCTTTATACGGTATATTGTGTCCATGAAACCAGTCACAATACTGACATTACTACTACGACTGTTGCTCAGTTATTTTTACTTTTTAATTTTTTTAATTTTTGTGTGATTAATCATTATGCTCTTTGTATAGAAACCCTGGCACAACAATAAAGGATTAATAAAGTTATCTTCTTAATTTGGCATAAATGTGGTGAAAATGCTCAAGTAAGAGTCACTTATTGATCTGTACAGTTAGATTTTAGGTGACAATGGTTAGCAATTCAGTTTGTAGTGCTTTGCTTGTCCCCTGTGTTAAATGCTGCTTGCTTGTTTGTTTGATTGCCTGCTTTCTTCTCACGACCTTCTGTTGTTGATTTAGTTGTTTTTAAGAAATTATCTGGGATATTGGGTGAAATGGTTTGTTTTTGTCTCTTGTTTTACCCCGTGGCTTGATTGTCACTCTGACATATACCAGACATTTTCAGACTTTAAGTTGACTGGTGTATTTTATAATTATGTCCATTGAGGCATATAAGTCTCATACTTTAAAATATTTTATAGAAAATAGTCTGAAGAAAGCACTGCAAAAAATACCAGCCATTTTAGAATAAGTGTAATGTAACAAAATAATACTTAATTCAATTGATTAAAAAACCTGTAGTAGGGAAAATTACTGTTTCTTCTGTTAAGTATCATTGGTAATTAACAATCTGTGCTGACACCAAATGGTCAAATGAATTAGAATCTTTATATTTTCTTCTCTCTTCTATTTGTACTTTGCAAAGCATGGTGGTTATGGTTTTATTTTGTGTATTTCTCCTGCAACACAATTCAACATGTTTAATCTGCCTTAGGTCTGGCAGTGATAAAAGTCCCTGCAATTGCTTTGTCCTAAAAAAATCATTTTTACTTAAATGTAATTGCAATTTTTTTTTGTCACAATCAGTTTAAAAAATATAATTCAATTCTACATGAAACAGGTGTTTCAATGAAATTATGAATATTTCCCTAATCTCCAGAGATATGAAGCTCACTTTGGTGGTCCAGATCCTACGTCAATATTAAGCTGTTATCATTTATTTTCCTTTTTAATGGTAAATGGTAAATGGAAAAATATGGTTAGTTTACATAAGGCTGTGACATGTCTCACGCATTAGCAGTCTTTTTATATACTGTAGAGGTAATGCATGTATTTTTATTTCCGTGCCATCGAAAATAAGAGGTTGGAAGGCCTACCCTCATCTGACTTTCCTGCCAATATTGTCCAATAGGTGATGAGTTCCACCAATGGGGAGCTCAATACTGACGACCCTACTGCTGGACACTCCAACGCACCAATCACAGCCAACGCAGAGGTGGAAGTTGCTGATGACACTAAGTAAGAAAAAAACATACTCATATCATAAAGATGATCATTCTGAGACATAAATCATAAAAGCCCATGTCCCCTGACCTAGATATAACATTAAAACTTTTTTTTTTTTTTAACTCTGCCATACCTTGTCTCTTTGCAATTGTCATTGTAATTGTCATTGCAAAGAAACACAATGTGGAGCACGCAATTTAAATGAAAAACTGTTGCATCATAAGTTAAGCCTTTGTTACCTTATGTGTTGCAGGTGCTGCTGTTTCTTCAAGAGGAGAAAGAGGAAACCTCTTCAGCGACACAAATAAAAAATAAGAGACAAGAGAGGGATATTTGCTCTCTCCTTGTTATCTCTTTTTCTTTTCCCTGCTTCTTTCTCTTGTCATTTTCCTCAAAGCAACCCCCCGTCAACCTTTGCTGATGGAGTTCCCGTGGTTTACTTTTGGCCAGCCAGTGAACCGGGGGGTAAAATAAGTATGCTGAGCTTATATGCTGGTCTCCACTGATTTACACTGAAGAGACAGGCAGATGCATATTTTTGCTGTTGAAAAACCGAGTTGAAAAACATGGGCTGGCTGTACCATCAGTGGATTTTGTATTTATGGACCTAACTGAAAATGGATTAACCTTGTGACCATAAATGAACATTTAACCTACTTTGAAAAACAAGCCAAGTAACAGACTGGATTCAGCTGTTTTTCAAGAATACTGACAAATTCTCTTTTTTTGGTCTTTTTTTCCTTACTGACTGGCTCAGTGGAGAATGAAGTGTGTTTCTGCAGAGATAAAGAACACAGGAGTACAACGCAAGTGATGCAATAAGACTGTTACACGATATGTGCTCACATAAGTCTACAAACCCCCACTGCACACTTGGTTCATATTCAGCTCTTGCACAACATTCTTTATTTTTTTACATTTTTAATTTCTTGGAGCAAAAAAGAGGCAACAGTAAGTGTCACAGTCTACATTTTGAAATGAAGTGGGCTTAGTATATTTTTCATTCATGCTCTATGAATTCACAACTCATCTGAATCAAAAATGTAAAAAAAGAGTTTATGTAAAACCTTTCTGGCTCCCCATTTTAATTTGTTACTATAAAGGACTTTTCTATTTTAAAGCTCAGTTTTTCCATCTTTTCGAGCTGCTTAAAGAGTTTGTGTCCTTGAAAATATATAATTTTTTCAAAGTAATTATTTTCGTAGTTTTTCTTTTTCTTTCTATCAGTCTTCTCCTTATTTTTGACTTGGGGGGTTACAACAGTAATGACATTAAAAAATTAACTGAAAAAACAATCAAACTAATTCAAATAAATTTGGTTTGAAATTAATCATAATGCCTTCCAACATTTGGAAGTCATTTTATATTTCGCTGCTCAACCTTCCATACATAACTAATAATGGCAAAAGGATTTTTTAGAAGATGATTACAAATGTGATTGAAATATAATTACTCATTGGGGATTGGTGAAATCATTCTCAAACAATAAGAAAGAGAAACAAAATATACTTTAAAAAAAAAATCTGGATACCACAATTCTGGATATGCCCACACTGTGTCAAGGGTTGACCAAGGAAATAAATAACTCATATTTTCGCCAAAAAGCTCGCAATTTACTGTTTTGGTACACTACAAGTTTCAAATACAATGTGTCATGATTTTTTTTTTTTTTAACACAACGGCTGAAATTCTCGCGATATTTGGTTGACATTTCTGGTCATTCCGGTCTATGATTCTCGATTCCGCCGTCACATGAGGAAGGACTACTACGAGACTCTTAACTATTGGCTGAAATGTGCAAAACATCTTCTCTATTGGTCAATCTCTCGGAAATGTATTGTTTACGTCACCGACACCGGTTCTTGGTGTTGTTTACATCAGTCTCAAAGCTAGATGTTAATTTACCCTTCAAGCTACATAGCAAATGTAAACAAATTAGCTACTTTTCGTTATCCATTGTACCGAACCTTTACTGCGGTTGTGCGAAATGCTTAATGGAAAAATGGTGATCTATTAATCCTGGTGTATTGTTTAAGTCACATCATAATCCGTAACATGTTCAAGTGTAACATTGTTATTTAATCTTATCTTTCAAACTAATCTAGAGTCATGTCAAGAGAGGTTGAAATTACATTCGTCTTCGTGCTTGCATTTCAGTTTCATTCTTCCACAGATTCAGCACATTCTTCCACTCTTGGCTTGGTTATAACACCTCAGTCACCTGATACGAAGAGGAAATTGGCTCAAAAATGATTGCCATTATTTGCTCTAACCCGCGTTGGAAACACATGATATACTCGATTGTTTGTTTGGGTCAAAGATCTGGGTGAACGCGGAACTGAAACGTTTGAAAACTCTTCAACACAGACTCCATTCTACAAACTCCGTCGAAAGCGAGGGAATTGATTCGATCTTCTTTATCGAACTTAATGAGAGCCCGATCTGAACTCCACAATGTCAGACACAGGGAGGGCTCTGCCACCTTTCAGGAAAATAAGCTATGCGGTAGGACACTGTCTGAATGATCTGTGTGCCTCTATGTGGTTCACATATTTGCTTGTGTTCTACCACTCAGTTCTGGGATTCCAGAATACAAACGCAGGTGAGTGATTGTTTTTATCTGTCAGTAATGCTGACCTCTGTGCAGGAAGGTTAATGCTAAAGGACTGTATTTTCTATGCATCCAATAATTGCACTTTCTGTCGTTTCCATTAAAAGACATTGCCTAAGACTGATGATTCCACAATTATATTTCAACCTTCCTTCATTGTCTGAAGGTTTCATTTGGACTTAGCACAAATAAAACTTTATTTTAGTTGTATTAGTATTTCAGCTGATGAATGATTATATCATGATATTCAAACACCCTTGCACTATTTGGAATGGACAGTGAAAATATCAATCAAATATATCATATCAATATCATATCAAAAAAATATATTTTGTGTTAAAAAAGTTTTCTGATTTAATATTCATATTCAACACACTTTTTAAAGCATGTTGTTGTTTTTTAAGGCAGTGTGAATGTCTCTGTGTGCCATAGGTTTGTTACTACTTGTTGGGCAGATAGCTGATGCCATCTGCACACCTCTCATTGGCTATGAATCGGACCAAAGCCCTGGATGTCTAAATTATGGAAAGAGGAAGACATGGCATTTAGTTGGTAAGATTGATAGACACAACGCATGACACTACATCCTCACTGTACTTTGCTGTAAGATTGACTTGAGATGTAAAATTTTATTAATTCGTTCTCAGCAGAAAATTATATATTTGGTGAATATGCAACCCCAAATTCTAAATTGAAAATAAACTGTAAATCATTTTATGTAATTTTTTAATAATTTTATTTTATGACTTCTTTAAATTTTTCTGCTTTTATATTCATTGTTTCATTTAGCAAAACAACAAAGTGAAGAAATCCTTTCTTAATTGACAGCCTTGTTCTGAAAAGTATTACCAGTTTCTAACTAATAGTAAAGGTAAAAGAGTTAAGCATTTATACACCCATTTCTGTATGTGTTCATACCTGCGTGAAAAGATACACTAGAAAAGCGTAAGGCAGGAGAATGAATAGGATTGTCTCTGGTAGAGTAATAACTTTAGAATTGACCGGACCAGGGCTGGGACTGAATAATACTTTGTTGCATATGAGAAAGAAGCATCACATAACATCATTGCTCCATGACTGGTGGATCTGAGAGCTGACTACAGCAATTACTCAGACTAAGATCCAGTGAGAAGGCTGGCATCTGAAAAAAGTCAAGTCAAGTAGGAAGAGTTGGACAGCACCATGCCCTGACATGATACACTCCTACTGACTAAACAAACTAACAACACTCTATGAATTCATGGCAGTACAAATCAACCAGCTGTTGATGAAGTAACCTTCCATCAATAGCTGGTTCATCTGGGTGTTTAAGATATATAGACACATGGTTCAGAAGGTGATTACAAATAAACACTTGAGGAGCTACTGATGTACACAACTGTCACTCAAGACTATAACATCTGGCATGCCACATTCAAGAATACTGGAATGCTAACTGTGAAATTATAAGGACTCCGAGAGCCTTACTTGGGAAATCAATGGGTATGTGGAAGATAACCCTGGAGGCCAATTACAAACCATTTGCACAAGTGAACAGAAAGTGCAGTATTTACCAAGGAGAAGCTCTGCCCCCTTTGTGGTTAATAGTATCAGTTCTGCAAAGAAGCAATGAGTAGCCTCTCCCTCTGACATCAAGGCAGGATTGAGCAAGACATTTACTCACTGACACCCCTCACCAGAATATGGAACAAATACATCAGGACATCATTTGGACTAGACAGATGCAACCAATATCTAGAAAGAAAAAATCAGGTGATTTAGAAGAGACCTTTAGCATACATTGAAGGCAGCTATAACTACCTAGTGATCCCACAAATGGCAACAATGATGAGGCTGCAAGGATACAAGAAGTTCCTACATCTAGGATAAAGTCCCAAGGAGTTGGCTGAATATGAAAAACAAAGTCCATGTCATCTATGGATTTGCCCTGCCAGTGATCAGATGCCTTAAGGGCAAAATAACGAAGATAGAACCCTCCTCAGAATGAATGGGGATTGTTGCTCTGAATCTAGTATCCTGACAATGTACTGTACGTATAGTGGAATGAGCGGCTGGTGAGCAACAGTCACTTTCCAGGATGGAACCACAAATAACCAACGGTAATATAGTGAGTTTGTCAGGCAGCTGAAACCCAGGGAAGATGAGGAGGAAGAGAAATAATCATGGCCTGGCATATACCACCAACAGATCGCAATATTGCACTCTGAATTGTCTTGTACACGAAATATGCTATACAGTTAAGTTTGTGTTGCCTATTGAGAGATCCTACAAATGCATAAAAATGCTGGCCTGAAAAACAGCATCTCTATAACAGGAGCCAAGAGGAAAGGGTTTACCACACCAGATAGGACCCAAGGTTGAGGGTGCATAACATGTAAATGTCTTTGTTGAAACGTGACCTTTTTTACATGTAACTTGGACCTTGTTCACATTCTCAAAACCAACATTATCCTTACAAAGATCAGATGAAGTTTTACAAGACCCTGTGATATGAATTGCCATGATGCAAATGTGCACTTTGATGAAAAGACTTGACAGGAGGAAGGAGCCTTGACACCTGCAGTTCCACTGGGACAATACGATTCCTAGCTGTATCACATTTGTGACCAGTCATTTGTGATAATTAAACATTAACTGTTGTTTAAAACGATAGATGAATAAGACAATGAATGGCAAAACAAAAATCCCTTAATGGCATTTACAACATTGAGTCAATAAAGTAGAATATGAATTTAGGTCCCTTTTTGCTATCCCAAGATATTTGTTTTCTGTCATCTGAAAATAAAATATTAAAACGTCCTGGGGAATTTTAGAGTATTGCAAACTGAAATCATTGATCAATTATCAATGATGGCTCCGAAACTAAAAAATGGGAACATTCACTTGTATTTTCTTATGAGCTCAAACAGTGTTAAAATTAGGAAATTAAGTTTGAACAAATGTAAAAGTATTTGAAAAATGTTGATATATGAATTTGCAGTAGTGACAAAGGCTGTGCTATGTTTAGTATCTCAAAGTTGTTTTCTGTGTACAAATATTTTTGATCACTTTATTCTTGCTAATTTGAGTAGGAAATGAGAAACTGATTGGTACATCTTTACAAAAATCATACAGTGTGTCTCTTTTGTATAACTGTGTTTTTTTTCCATTACAGGTACAGTGAGCGTGGTGGCATCGTTCTCCTTTATCTTTAATAGGTGTTTGGCCTGCAGTCCCCTCACCCCTCAATGGGCCAGTTTGATCTACTTTGTCCCGTTCATCATTATTTTTCAGTTTGGCTGGGCTGCCACGCAGATCTCTCACTTGTCCCTTATCCCAGAGCTGGTCACCTGTGAGCACGCCAAAGTAGAGCTCACTGCCTACAGGTAAAGGCGTATAACACATTTATTGACAGAAGGGTGATGGGTCCTGAATATTCACTTTCTGTTCTTTGTGTGTGAACAGGTATGCTTTCACTGTCGTAGCCAATATAGCAGTGTATGCAGTGGCTTACCTGCTGTTCCATGTCCAGGCTGGAATGGATGATGATCCACTCAGTGATTCACTCGGACCAGCAGATATCCCCATCTTTAGGGTGAGGACACAGATTAATGCAGTCTTGTGCACATGCCATAAATGAGCATGTTTATGAGACTTTTTCTAGGCCGTTAGTGTCATATGACCACAGCTCTGTTCTGCTGTGCACAGCACAAAACGTGAGTATAGCAATCTGGAATTAAATGATGATATACTTTTTTGTCTATCTTTACCTGTTTCATGCTATATCTCTTTTTATGAATTTGTTGTCATGTTCCAACACCATTATGTCACACAGCTGCTATGACATTGTGTTTTTGATGGTTGTTTTCCAGTTGAATTTTTTCCCCCTTGCAGTTGAACTAACCTAAGTTCTGCTGTTACTAGTGAGTGTATGAAAATGTGTGAAAATGTTGAGTGAAAGATGTTATGGGTTCCAGACTGAACATCTTCAACTGCTAAGATGGCTTTTCTCCCCTGTAATTCAAAGTATTTTTTAGTATAAAATCAGAGAAGCCCATAAAAAGGTGAGAAGACTGCGAATGTAAACCCTTAGAACTCCTGCATTTTTTGGCAAAAGACATACAAACATACATACATACAGGGGTTGGACAATGAAACTGAAACACCTGGTTTTGGACCACAATACTTTATTAGTATGGTGTAGGGCCTCCTTTTGCAGCCAATACAGCATCAATTTGTCTTGGGAATGACATATACAAGTCCTGCACAGTGGTCAGAGGGATTTTAAGCCATTCTTCTTGCAGGATAGTGGCCAGGTCACGACGTGATGCTGGTGGAGGAAAATGTTTCCTGACTCACTCCTCCAAAACACCCCAAAGTGGCTCAATAATATTTAGATCTGGTGACTGTGCAGGCCATGGGAGATGTTCAACTTCACTTTCATGTTCATCAAACCAATCTTTCACCAGTCTTGCTGTGTGTATTGGTGCATTTTCATCCTGATACACGGCACCTCCTTGAGGATACAATGTTTGAACCATTGGATGCACATGGTCCTCCAGAATGGTTCGGTAGTCCTTGGCAGTGACGCGCCCATCTAGCACAAGTATGGGGCCAAGGGAATGCCATGATATGGCAGCCCAAACCATCACTGATCCACCCCCATGCTTTACTCTGGGCATGCAACAGTCTGGGTGGTACGCTTCTTTGGGGCTTCTCCACACCATAACTCTCCCGGATGTGGGGAAAAACAGTAAAGGCAGGCGGACTCATCAGAGAACAATACATGTTTCACATTGTCCACATCCCAAGATTTGCGCTCCTTGCACCACTGAAACCGACGTTTGGCATTGGCACGGGTGACCGAAGGTTTGGCTATAGCAGCCCAGCCGTGTATATTGACCCGGTGGAGCTCCCGACGGACAGTTTAGGTGGAAACAGGAGAGTTGAGGTGCACATTCAATTCTGCTGTGATTTGGGCAGCCGTGGTTTTATGTTTTTTGGATACAATCTGGGTTAGCACCCGAACATCCCTTTCAGACAGCTTCCTCTTGCGTCCACCGTTAATCCTGTTGGATGTGGTTCGTCCTTCTTGGTGGTATGCTGACATTAACCTGGATACCGTGGCTCTTGATACGTCACAAAGACTTGCTGTCTTGGTCACAGATGCGCCAGCAAGACGTGCACCAACAATTGGTCCTCTTTTGAACTCTGCTATGTCACCCATAATGTTGTGTGCATTGCAATATTTTGAGCAAAACTGTGCTCTTACCATGCTAACTGGACCTTCAGAGTCTGCTCTTATTGGTTCAATGTGCAATTAATGAAGATTGGCCACCAGGCTGGTCCAATTTAGCCATAAAACCTCCCACACTAAAATGAGAGGTGTTTCAGTTTCATTGTCCAACCCCTGTACATACATACATACATACATACATACATACATACATACATACATAC